TGGGCACCCCCCAAAAAAACCATAAAAAAACAGCAAAAAACCAACAGCCATAAAGCTGAAAACAGAGAAACCTGGCACCGCAGCCACATTCTCGTCCCACCCTGACCTCGCCCTGTCCCAACGCCTGGGGAAGAGCCCGGTTTTAAGTGCTCTCTGGAAGGATAGAAGGGTGGGGTCCTGCCGGAACTCGGGGGGAGGGTGTTCTGTAGGGGAGGGGCTGCTGCGTAAAGCCCATGCAGGGCTTTGAAGGTGATAACCAGCACTTTGAATTGCACCAGGAAGGAAGGAAGGAAGGAAGGAAGGAAGGAAGGAAGGAAGGAAGGAAGGAAGGAAGGAAGGAAGGAGAAAGTTGGAGGGAATTGAGGTTCGATGGTGTTGGGGAGATCCTGGCCAGGAAGAAGAAGAAAAGGCCACAGAGGTAGGAAGCAGTGGAGGTCATGGTGGAAGCTTGGAGGGTTTGCAGGAGAGAAGATGGGAATGAGATGAAGGGAGGGAGGGAGGGCGGGCAGGCAGGCAGGCAGGCATGGATGATAAAGCCTCAGAGATTTTGCACACCTTGATGCTGTCTTTGGATCTTCTTGGGACGAGGGGAAAAGGTTCCTTTAATATTGGAGCTATTTGATACCATCTCGCTCATCAGCTGGGATGAGAGGAAGGCAGCGTTGTGCGACAAGCAGAAGAAAGAGGAAGATGAGGAACGTTTATGCGGTGGTGAGGTACAAGTGGGGACCCAGTTGGGGTCCTGGAACAAACCCAGTTTAAGGAAACATGCCATTCCCTGAACTCTAGGGGAGAGGGCAATGGACAAACCCAGAAGACAGAAGTGAGTGAATTGGCCGTCCCTGGCCAATTCTGGAGGAGCTGCCCTGGGTTGCAATGCTAAGGCCTGGTTGGAAGAAGGGTGTGTTTGCAACTCCCACTGTGGCCTACAGCATCACTTGAGAGATGAGAATGCTCACCAAGAACCCCGTGAGATCCTTCTTCTTTTCATGCACCATCCAGCCCTCAGACCATTTGGCCTGTCTGGGCAAGAAAGTGGAAACCTGAGCAGGGCTGGACTTCTAGTCATCTTCTGTCCCCCACCCTCTACCTCCCACCCAGCTGTCTCCCAGCTTTTGCTGATGAGGGTGATGGGGTGGTCTTTGGAGACCTAAAACAGGCCCTTTAAGGCTAACTTGCTTTTCTGACCTGATTTTGTACCTAATTAGCACGGGCAGCTAATTCTTTGACCCAACTCACATTCAGGCTCCCGGGCTCTTCTGTAGCAGGTTGTGGCAGATGGGACGAGGCTAGGACATATGGTTTTTCAGCTTTATCAGCTTTTGGGTACTCTGACCATGAAATTAGGGTTGAGCAAGGCCAAACTCTTAATGAAAATTCCTGGACCGTTAATGGTCGATCTGGTATTCCTCGAGAATTTCTTTCCCACTGCTGTTGCATCTGCTTATCCAGCAGAATATTTTGGGACAGAGAAGAGCCTTCTTGGTATAGTTCTAGACACTGCAGGAGGCCAGCCGTGTTAGTCTGAGATGGCAAAAAATCAGGAGTCTAGGAACACCGCTTTTATTCAGAGGAAAAAGTTTTCGATTGTAGCTCACATCCTAAGGTGCAGAGAATAGCTAGCCTGACGTAGGATTTAAATTTGGGGTGAGTTGGGGGGAAGGGAGGAGAAGACATAACCATCTCATCACCAACTTGTCTTCTCCTCCATTCCCTCCCACCATCTACATATTACATCAGACTAGCCACTCTGCGTCTTAGGACATGAGCTGCAGCTTGCAAAAACTTATGCGTTTCAATAAAGTTTGTTGGCCGGAAAAGGAGCTACCAGACCCTTTCTGATTTCTTGATATAGTTCTAGTGTCAAAGCTGGAGGCTCACAGTGGCAAAGAGATCCTGCGTTTTGGACGCTGCGTTCCTTCCGACTTAGCTGCCCGCCTAATGCAAATGGAGCCATAATCTAGACAAGTCATGCTGGGAACTGTGCTTTTCAACTTGTACAGTCCAAGGAAGGGGGCAAAGTGAATGGAAATGAACAGAAAGACGCTATGGCTGTGCTTAATTGGGTTGCTGAGTTTCCACAATATACTGAATCAGAAACTAATCAAATTACTGGGTTCATACAACTTGCTAAGATGACATCAAGCTAGCCAAGGTGGACACTGACCTCATGATTCCACCTGTCATGATTCTCCTGCAGTATAAAAGGCGATGTTTCTTGGCAATTGTGATACGATAATCGTGCTTATTCCTGTGCTGTCGTGTTCTGTGGTCTCCAAGTGCGTGGGCTGCTGCTATTAAAGAGTGAAGTCCTTCAGGTCGAAAAGCCAGACCTCTCCTGGACAGAGAAACCCTCTGCTCCCTCCTACAAGTGCCGGAGCTGGAAGGTCTGGCCAGAAAACCGTCTTTGAAGTGCAAATGTTCCCATGAGTTCACAGGAGTCATGATGATGCACGCTGCTTCAGAGTGATGTGCTGCGGCATCTGGCAGGGTGGATCCAGCTGTAAATGAATTGGTTTGTTTGATGGTCTGCTTTTTTCACATACCATCAGAGTCAGCTGACTCGGTCGTTTACAGTCATTAAAATCAACCCGATAAGGCCATCAGTGGCACCATGAGAGGGTCATAAATACACGTAATACAACTGTGGACCATTGCTCTGGATTTCACGCTTTTCAAGGCTGCTCTCAACAAGGCCATCATAGATGCAACCCTAATGTTCTGGAGGAGACCGCTCCAGAAGCTGGGGGCCACCTCTGACACCATGGCTACTTCGCCACCTGGAATGAATATACAGGGCAGGGGGGTTCCAGCTGGAGAAGACACTCCTGGAAATACCTTAATGCTGAGCCAGGTCAGGTTTCCAGGGTTAAAGCCAACCCGTTGAATTGCTCTCAAAGCCCACTGACAACCAATGCAGTCCCTGCAGAATTGGGGCGATGCGGCCAGAGTGTCTGTCACCCGCCAGCAAGTGAGAGAGAATGAGAGAGAGAAGAGAAATCTCTGGACAGATCCAGAACAACTTACAAGCCTGTGAGGGTATTTGTGTGATATTCAGCTCCTCTTCTGGACATTTTCCACCATGCGATGAAACTGTCCATCAGCTGTTGCAGTCTGGACATGAACAATATAGTCCTCTGGACCATTTCGTTGGCAGTCCATCTTCAGGAGGGCTTCCAAAAAAAGTTGAAGACATAGTTGGTGTATTTCCAGACCACAATGTTCATAAATAAATTGGGGCTACATTTTTAGCTTATGTTTCTCTTGACATGGCATAAAACAGTAGGACACTAGCTGGACAGGGTTCCAGCTGTAGAATTTGTGCTGTGCAACCAATTATCAAAGCAAGAAATTAACTTTATGGTGATGTGATAATGGGAGCTTTTCCCAAGTTGGTGCCTTCTAGGTCTATTGGACTACATCTCCTGGTTGGTCCTGCTGCCAAAAATTGCTGTGAGCTGTTGTCCAGGACATCTGGGGGGCACCTGGTTGGAGAAGGTGGTCTTAGATCAATATATCACCAACATTTATATGCACTCTTTCAGGTAAATGTTTTTCCTTTTGAGCTTTCCAGAATCATCTAGCTGACTCTATCTGATGGGTTCATCCAATCATGTGGACCATAAAGATGCCACATGAGCTGAATTTGCACAATGTACTAAGCCATAGAGGAACAAACCAGGGTTAGCACTCCACACACTTAGCATGTTGTGTGAAAATAGTCTCTAAACTTGGGAAAGGGTGTTGTGGAAGCCAAAGGCTGGTTCAGATAGCTTTTGGTTGACTTGAATGCATCTCTTTGCTCCTTCTAGGTCGCTGTGCACGCTGTGGAGAAAATGTTGTGGGAGAAGGAACAGGATGCACCGCGATGGATCAAGTTTTTCACGTTGACTGTTTCACCTGCATGATTTGCCGTAACAAACTCCGGGGACAACCCTTCTATGCTGTGGAGAAGAAAGCCTATTGTGAGCCTTGCTACATTGTGAGTAACCTCATTCTTCTCCATGTCAAGCGTGTTGGTGGACTGGGTAGACCTATCAGATGACCTTCAGATGTGTTGCGCTTCAACTCATCATTCCAAAGCCCAGCCATGAGATTGAAGTCCACCACATCTGGAAGACATCCACATAGGGAAGACTGGTCTGTGCGGTACACCAGACAGAAATTTGGGAGGGGGGGGTCGGATAGACTTCTCTGATTTGGTCCAGCAAGCTGATCTGTGTGGTACATCTCTGATTCCTGAGCCTTACTTAAATGTGTGCTATTCTTTTGCTTTCTCAGTTAGCCAGCATGCATCAGCAGTAAGTTTCTTCAATACATTAAACCATAAACTAACCAAATGGGCTAGACTCACACAGCAACTTAGCCACAAAAGAATTACGCAAGGTTGACGCTAATCAAGTCTGCTTTGTTGAGTTAATGCAGCCATTGGGTCTTCAACTCATCTGCTTAAGCACACAGTGCTCAAGAATGGTCAGTAACTGCTCTGCAGATTAAGTGTATCTCTCCCCCCCACCCACCCACACCCTTTTGTTTTGTTTTTTATGGATTTAGAACTAGTTCTTAGTGAGACCAAGAAGTAGCTTATGTGGGAGAGAAGGATGTAATCTTGGGCAGGCTGGTTTCATGTTATTATATGATGCCTTCTGATGTTCGCCTGAGGTTCTTGTTGGAAATCACCATTGAACATGAAATCATCTGAACCAAAGGGGCTGTTTCCATGCTCCTTCCTCACCATAAGAGCTGAATCTTCCAAAAGATCTCTCTCTACACAGATTTGAGCAATAGCAATGTCCTGATGGGGGACGGGTGTCAGAAAAGTCAAGATGGTGGCTGTGACCATGCAACTGAATTTCTAGCCCATGAAAATATGGGATGGAGCTTTGATTCTATGGTCACAGTTGCCTTCTGGACTTTTTTGACACGCGCGCACATGCACACAGAATCTCACAGACGTCCTTGCCTGCTTTCCAAGTTAGCATCACAGTCCATGAACTGTCTAGGCTGATTCTCACTTACTTTCCATTAAAAAAAAAAATTGAAGGCCATGTGAATTGGAAACTGAAGTCCAGCCCTGTTGGAGGTGTGATGCTTCATAGAAAGGAAGAAAAATATCTTGGAAACAGTCCATGACTGTTTATTCCATGGACATAGGGGTTGGGGAGGTGACCAGAATAGAATTCAGCATAGAAATGGATAGACCTTCAGAGCTCTGAAGGACTTTTTGAACAGAAGGCCATCTCAACCTTGGAGCAGAATTGCAGAGCACCAAGGTGGCTGTTGAGTCTCTCTCCCCTTCATCACTGTGGATCCCTTGTGGAAGAGCTCACATCTCTCAACAGGAAAGCTCAGAAGATCTCAGGGTTGATCTTAGTTAATAAGATCTGGGGGACCGAGGACTGAGTCTGCCAACCTAGAGGATCACAGAATCTAGTCTTGCCGAGAGTCCATGTTGGCTGCAGCCTATCCAGATCAGGAATTCTGGCCAACTTGGACTCTCAGTGTGACTGGATTCCAGGCAGTTTATAAAACTGATTTTTTGAGTAGGACTCATTTAAAAGGTTCATCAGGAAGAGCTGTTCAGTCTACCCACCTTCCCTCATCTTTATAACCAGACAACTCCAGGACCTGGAGTGACATAGGTATCATATATATTTATTTTTTACACAGAAGATGAAAACTCTTTTTCAGTTACACGCCTCTGCCCTGAGACACCATGAACTGGTAGAGCTTCTCTGCACATACTCAGAAAGTACCTAAAGGTCCCTGAAGTTATGGCTGAACACACTTTGCCCACCCCACCCCTTCCACTGTAGAAAAAGTGTTAAGGGCGTCCTGCTTCCCATCAGAAGATCTTCCAAACTCGGTATGAGAAACGCCCTCTTGGATCTTCTGAAGTTTGAGGGCAAATCTGCATCAGGCTTTGTGCTGTAGGAATGGTCTGACATTTAGCAATCGTATTACTCAACCCGCCTCATTAGCCTGAGTGAACTACTGGCAGAGGCTCAGCAGACTCCCAGCCTGGGGAGCAAACAAGATGAGCAGGAAAATGGAGGAGGACTCGCTTGTCCCCTCATCCACCTTCCAATTTGTCTTCAAATCTTCATTAAGGTGTAAAAATAATAGTTTGGGTGCAATGCAGGGCTTGGAGCACAAGAGAGGGTGGCAGGCATTGTTTTAATCCTACAGACCAACAGACAAAATGCGGACCCCACCCCATCCCCTACCCTCAGGGTGGACATTCAACCCAGGAAGTGAGATTTAACAATTAAATATTAAAAAGAGTTTTTCCTTCTCCTTCTCCACCACCATTCCTTCTCCTTCTCCTTCTCCACCACCATTCCTTCTTCTCCTCCACCATTCCTTCTCCTTCACCACCATTCCTTCTCCTTCTCCTCCACCACTCCTTCTCCTTCTTTTCCTTCTCCTCCTCCTTCTCCATTACCATTCCTTCTCCTTCTCCTCCACTATTCCTTCTCCTTCTCCTTCTCTTTCTCCTCCTCCTCCTCCTCCCATCATTAAAGGAAACAGTCATTCCTAGCTACTGGATAATCAGGAATCTTTTGGGATGCATATTTTCCGGCTGAAGAACCCTGTTTAGAGCCTTGCTGGTCGTGTATTTATTTCTCCTGGCTTGGAGGATGCATTCCCCCAACAGGCTAACTAGATTGGTCAATGGCCTCGCCGCGAGAGCTGCACCCTGGCCTCTTCCGTTCCTCTGAGTCCACATATTGGGCAGCTGGAGAAATCAGGTTAATCCAGAAGCCCCGTTGGGGAGAAGCTTAAAAGGGGTTAAATATACATAAAGCATATAAGCCAATGAAGTGCCTGATGGAGCAGGAGAACTCAAAGCCTTGTTCACATAGCACATTGATAACCTGCTCAGATAAATCCCTAACAATTAATCTTATGACATGCTGCATTTGGGAATTATTACCCCAAGGGTGGGAGCTGTTAAATTGTGTATGGTGTGTATGGTGTGTGTGCGTGTGTATGATTCAGCATCTTGTGCTAACTCAGCCTGCTGAACCAGCTGATGACTCCATGTATTGTGTGAACCCAGAAAATGGGTTAATGCAGTTAGCGGATGATGCGTGTTGTCTGAATGCAGCCTGTGAATCATCAGCACTAACCCAAATGTTCTGAGAGGGTTAGTTCGAGGCCACAAAGAAGAACAGAAGCATGAAGCTTCCCAAAAGCAGGGTGGTCTAGCTCCAGAGGGATATGAACATTTTTTTTTCGTTTCCAAATGAAGAAGGTTTCGCTAGGAAAGGAAATGTTTATATTACTCAACCTTCCCCAAGCTGGGCACCTACTGGGGGGTGGACTTCATCTCCCAGAAACCTCAGCAAGGCCATGCTGGCCTGGGAATTCTGGGAGTTGAAGACCACATACCTGGAGGGCGACCTGCAGCCGCCAGAATTCGGCAGTGGCCATGCTGGTGCAGGGATTCTGGAAGAGGAGTCCACCCACCGGGAGATCACCCAGCTCAGAGAAGCTGGTATACCATTTCCATTTCTGGTGTCCTGCCAGCTGTAGCAAAAGAGCCAAAACTGATCTCAAAGATACGTTTAATGACAAATGTGAGTTTCGCCGCTGCATAATATGTGAGGTCCACCTTCAGCTTTGCTTGGTTAGATGTCAGGGGAGAAGGATTTTGCAGAGTAAGAGGTAGAAAGTGAAGTGTATTTTTCTGCCTGAGGCAAGCAAAATGTCCTTAAGCCTTTGCTCTTCACTGGCTCTTAATCTGGGGCAGCGTGGTGTAGTTGGATGAGCAACGCTGAATCCAACAGTGTGGAGAGACACAAATACGACCTTCATCAGTGCTCAGAATCATCTAACTGAACCACTGGTAAAGAGTAGGATGGTAGCATCCAATACATTCCACTAACATTGTTTATTGTAAACTGCCCAGAGTCACTTCCTCGTAAGATGGACAGTGTCTAAATTTGAAATTTAAATGAATAAAATCAAAACGTTATCCTGGTGGCCTTCACAACAGCCCTGTAAAGAAGATCGGCCCTATTTTGTCCTCTCGCCAATGGAGCAGGAGATGTTCAGGCTGAGAGGGGGTAGTTTGTCCTAAACCGAATGCTACATAGCAGACTGTGGTCTGTTAGGAATCAGGATGGACAGTGTTCCAAAAGGGTGGGTTCGATTCAGGTCTGCTTCACTTCCTTGGGTGACTCTGGACCTGCTGGTCTCTCTCTGAGGGTGGTTAATCCAGAGGACAATGAAAGGAGAACTGTGTACACAGTGGATGGTCAAGCAGCGGCAATGGAGGAGGGAGGGGAAGCACAGAGGGACAGGAGAGTGGCCAGGGTGGAAAAATATAAGGTCCTCCTCCCTGTCATTCTCCACCTCTTCTTCATCCCTCCACCAGAAGCTCCCTTTACTGATGGAAAAAAGGATCTTTGCGTCTCAAAGCTCGTGGTGCATCTGTGTTAAGAGTTGGAAGCTGAGCCACTCGATTCCTGGCTCAGCTTCTTAAGCATGGCATTCACACAACATTTTATACTTGGGCGTTTAAGCTTCAATAGGACATTTAGGAATAGGCTTTGTGTAAGCCCAGCTGATGTGGTTAGTCGATTGGTTGATTGATTGATTGATTGATTGATTGATTGATTGATTGATTGATTGATTGATTGATTGATTGATTGATTGATTGATTGATTGATTGATTGATTGATTGATTGATTGATTGATTGATTGATTGATTGATTGATTGATTGATTGATTGATTGATTGATTGATTGATTGATTGATTGATTGATTGATTGATTGATTGATTGATTGATTGATTGATTGATTGATTGATTGATTGATTGATTGATTGATTACCTTCAGGTTGGTGTTGGTTCTTAGCAACCACCTAGCAGCCCCCTCCCCAGCTTAAACTGCATTGGCTCAGAAAACAATGGGTTGCCCCCAAATATTGTGGACCTGACCCACTCATTTCTAAACTATTCCAAACGGATGTCC